TGTATTTTGTGTATTGTACAGTAGTTACTTTTTCCTTAAGTTACATGTATTTAATTTATATATATTTAACTTTATATGAAAATTGCGAGTAGTCTTATAAAATTGCGAGTTCACTTTCTTGGTACTCGCAATTATTTGCGAGTTGTAATTTTAGGGAGTTTCGAACCCTGCTTGAATCATATTGAAATTAATGCATGAAATGAAAATTATTGCACGCAAAGTTTTCAATTTCAAGTTTCATTTGTAGACTTTTTTCATAAAATAATGTTTAAGATTTATCGTTCTTGGTTGAGGAGCGGATATCCTTAATGATGGGAAAAAAATCACAAGAAATACATTATTATTACAAACGTTAATCATCCGTTGATGATTTAACAATACTTTAAAATATGAGTATCCCTCATATGATGTATATTGCATCAATAGCTTCTTATGATCTAATTAAGCAAAACTATCCATATTGTTGGTTTTATTCATTAATGTATTATACATCATACCGGTATTTACAATATGAGCAACAAACACTACGGAATATGATAAAATGCCTAAAATTCTACAAGTTAAAGAGACATTTCAAACTTAAAAATTTTAAACGTATTTTGTGCTACAATAGGTCCGTAGGCCTTGAAGGTCACCTGAATATGCTAATTCCAGATACTCTCTAAGACAGAAACTATGTTCATGCCGTGTACAAACTACAAAAATATGACACAAACAAAAATGTTTCATTTCTCTTTTCATTAAAATGAACTTATGTCATGTTTCTCTTATCCGTTCTTTACCCAAAAGAAGAGCCTCCATTGACCTTGAACTTGTCAAAATAACCTCTGCTTTTTGCTGGGATCCTTCGAGTCCTCTGCATCCTTTGAACAAAGTATTGGCATCTATACTTATATTTATCATCCAATAAAAAGTGATGGTAAATGGACGTACGTATTTATGCAACGAACTTTCGGGCGTTAAACATTTCTCTTTTTTTAAATCCACATAACCCGATCCTTTAGTCTATAAATATGTTACCAAGATCGACACGTGATATTCTCAAATTCTTTGGAGAGCTTGTATCCGTCTAACTTTATTATCCAGACATGAAACCTGTACTGAGGAGAAAGAACTTTCATGATTTGTAAGACAATTCATAACTGATTATAATCATCTAGACAATTCAACTGCAAGGTGTTCAGGAGTAGAGACATGAAATTTATATATATATTTTTAAAAATGCACTGATATTGATGGTGTGTCCACTTTACCATCGGGAGGGGGGGGGGGGTCCATTCATTTTAGTTCCATTTACTCTCGAATGCTATAAACAAAAGTTGTTTTGTAAATACATGTACTATTGCCTTTCCTGAATTTTACATACAAACGACGAACAAAAATGAATAGCAATAAGTCACTTGAGTGTCTTAGCTGATTGAAAATTATCAAAGTACTTAAAGTTCTTGTGTCCATATTATAGTTATGCTAGGTGTATTCAGATTCTATCCAGCTAAATCAAGTTCACCAGTAAGAAATGCATGTAGGTTCAGTGCATGGATTAAAAGCGTACATGTATGTTCAGTGCATACAGAAAAGCAAAGATTGAAGGAAATCGAAAGACCAATATGCGCAACAAAACTATAATGCCATTTCTAATCATACAGCACTGGTCACATTTTTTTTTGTTACTTACAGCCATAAAATTAAAACATGTATTTAAAGGAGCGAAGGTACAAAACATGTCATCTAATGACACTCATTAAGACAACACGTAAAAACGAGTCAAAACTAACACATCACTTAACCTGGCGACAATTTATAGCATTCCTGTTAGATTTCTTATTATCATGGACAATAAAACCATTAGCTCGATTCATATTTATCGTTAATCCGTGGAATTACAAAAATCACAAATTGTCAAAAACAGATTATGCGTGTTTTTTCTGGTGCGGAGTTGGTCGTAACAACGCGATAAGCCCGGAAACCTCGTTCAGGGCCCTGATAGAATAAAAATACATGTATGTCATATTTATATATGCATGATCATTTACTTACATATTCATTGTTATAATTTGGTGTACAATGAAATTTATACTTAAATTTATTCTTCCCTTTTTGTGGACTCTATAAAACTGATATTTTTTTAAATCACAATAATTATTGATCGAGTACTTGGATAATCCATTCATTAGTTTCTGATAAAAATAAAAACATAACAAAAAAATAATAAACAATTTTTAAAAAATGTATGTACTGCGAAAACACCTTTCATAAATATATCAATTGATTGTTGAGACAATGTGTTTGACCTATATAATTTAAGTTACTTCTTTTAATTTTTTTTTCCATATTGAGTTATATAGTGGGTTTACCGTTAGTCAGTTAAGAAACCTCACGAGCTAATTATGGGGAATTGCTTGGGCTTGCCTCGAGAAGGGCTTCGTTCCGACAGGACTCTACATTCATCTTTCGGACCACCTCGGATTAATCCCTTTGTGGCCACACTAAGCCGATGATG